CCCCAAAACCCCAAAACCCCAAAACCCCAAAACCCCAACTAGTGACGTAAAAGTGGAATCGTCACCATCATTATATAAATTAGTATTAGTAGAATTAATGGAGATCTTCAAAAGAAAGAAAACTATAGACAGCCCAATAAGGACACCCCAGGAAGCCTTCGTGGCTATGGACGAGAAGATGGACAAGCTCATGCAGCCAAACGAGAAGATCCATGTCTACAACGATGATGACCTCATCCATTATCTGCACCAGACCTTCGATGTCATGGCTGAGATCGAACAAGAGATGAATGAGCTTGTCAAGATCACAGACTATGCCAACTTCAAGGAGAAGTGAGAGGAGTTTGCGACTCTCTGCGACACAATCAAAACTGTCGTGGACATATGCATTGACAACCTCCAGCATTTCACAGACTTCAAAAGACTTTCTGATCTTAAGGAGCAAAGAGATAAAGGGACCTTTATTTTTGACAGATTGTCTAAGTCAAGTCAAGTTAGTGGTGCCACTAAGTTGGTTAAGATCGAAAAGGAAATACCAACTGATGATTATGATCTTATGCCAAATCCGATGGAGTTAAAAATCAACTCAGATGAAATAGAAGAAGCAAGAAGTCAAGGAATATTCGATGATCTTCTATTTGAACAAGACAAACTTGATGAATTAGATTGTAAGTTAATGTTAGAAGAAGAAAAATACGGGTATGAATCTGATGATGAATCAGATGAACAGGCTTCTTCTGCAAGGGATTCGACAGTGGAGAATTTAAACAACCTTGTGCTTAAAAGAATCGATGATATGATGCATAGAGCCAAATCACGAAACCCTCTAGGCCTCAAACCTCACGAAGAACGTATTAAAGCTATAAAATCAGGTAAATTCAAAATCTGCGTGTCAGCAGTAGCTCTTGCTTTCAAGTACATCTACAAGATGTTCACGATAATTCTGAACACGATCAGAGACTCAGTACACCACCACAACAAGAAGGCCTTCATGAAGTTCATGGTCTATGCCTCCAAGTTCACCATCCTTTCTGAAGTTATATTCGCAGCATTTTATGCAAACCCTAATGATCTTATATTCAAAAATATTGATCATCCTGATTGGACACGCTTCTTCTCAGTCTACGATTACTATCAACCCAAAGATCTCAAAAAGTTTAACAAACAATACAAAGGATTTTGTCACTCTCTCGGTAACATATCTAATGTCTGACTCTGGTTTAGCTCTTGCAAGTGCCTTCATATCTAAAGCCGGTCACAACAAAAACTCACTCACAAAAGCCATTGGCAGAGCCAAGTATGCAGCTTACTTCTTGATGTTCAAGAAGAAGAGACTCGAGCAGTTTGATATGTTCATGAGCAATCCTGACATTGACTTGTGCCTCAAGGTCTACAACATGCCTGAGACTGACTTTGTGCAGAAGCTAAACGAAGCCACTTTACCTAAAATCAAGCTACACAAAGTCATCTACCTACTCATGACTGACGAAATCCTCACACTAGAAAACCTAAAACATACAAGCAATGAATTCCAAGACTACCTAAAACACATAGACTTAGGATTGGAACCCAAGAGAGGTTCCAAAAAGAAGTCCACAACAGAAGAAGAGCCAAAACCCTTCCCAAAGACCCCCTCCCTCTACCACCGCCCTCCCATCTCCGCCTCCCTTCCCCCTTCCTATCACACAAACCCCAAGCTGCATGACCCTTACTCCACAGTAATGGTGAGGGTGCTCTCCCCCTTCGCTTTTCCAGTGGACTGGAAAAGCCAGAAGCTGAAGCAACACGTCATTGACAAGTAAGTAGTAAGTGGGGATCGGTTGAACTTGGTATAGGAAGAAGAAGAAGGAAAGAAATGAGGAGGGGAAGAAAATTTAAGAGCGAGATTTCTAAGTCTTTTTGGACATGGCTGTGTGGGGCTTGATGAGGGGGTAAACAGATTGAAGGACAGAAAGGTCGGGGTTGAGGTGGAGAGGAAATGCAGGGTTATATAGAAATTGAAGCCATCATGATTCACATTCATGGAGGAGGATTTGTTTCTATGAGTAGTTCTTCTCATCAAAATTATACCAGAAAATGGGCCAATGAAATTGGAATCCCAATCTTTTCTATTGATTACCGACTAGCTCCAGAACACCCTTACCCTGCTGGCCTGAATGATGTGTGGCAGGCATATTATTGGATTGTTAACAATTGTACGAAGTATTTTGGAATAAAGCCGAAGAAAATTCTGGTATCTGGAGACTCAGCTGGAGGAAATCTTACCATTGCTCTTACAATGTTAGCCATTGAGAAACACTTTAGGGTGCCTGACTTTATCGTACCAGTGTATCCAGCAATGAACCTATCATTAAAGAATTTTTGTCCAAGTCTAATCTTGTCTTTAGATGATTTTATTCTCCCATCTGGTTTCCTCTACTTATGAGTAGAAGCATATGTAAAAGATGGTGACCCTGAAACTGATCATTTCTTATCTCCAGGAATCTGTCCTGACAATATCCTCCAAAGATTTCCTCCAACCAGAATCATGAGTGCAGGCAATGACCCACTCAGAGACGAAGCTTACAAGTTTGTCCTCCGGCTACTAGACAATGGTGTCGATGTAACATGCAAAGAGTACATAAACTTCCCTCACGGATTCATCAGTCTGAACATCCCAGTAGCAGGAATCAGTGAGTGCAAAGAACCAATCAACCAGGCTATAAAGTACTTCAAAGAGTTCATCTACCAGGACGGAGACCAAGAAGTATCAACTATAGACGAATCTAACGATGAAGGAGTTCATCATTCGTCATATAGAATCAATCAATAGCACCCAAATATCCTCTCGACATCTTCCTCAACATTCGAATGCAACATTTGTATTCTCGCTGAAATAACTGGGGTTTTGGGGTTTTGGGGTTTTGGGGTTTTGGGG